ATAGCCCATATTTAATAAAGTATCAGCACTTAAAGATTGGCAACATTTGATGATGTCTTTAGATGATTGCCACTATACTCAATATTTTTCGCTATTTTGAGAATCAAAGACCTTTAAAAAGAAAAAAAAACATTCGAATGAATTCTTCCCACACATAAAACTGTTTTGTCTTCATTGACTTCTTTGATGTTGTACTAATACTAATACGAAAAGTTCATTTGCAGACGATACAATGCAGAAGCCGGAAAAATCTTAAAATATATATATTAATAATTAGGGGATTGCTATTTCTCACCGGTGATGATGGTCATCGCACTGGTGATTATCACCACATCACAACATATTTATTTACATGCTTGCAGTAGTCTAAACGTAACCCAACAATACAATAATAGATAGATTGCATGTGGTAGTCTAAAACGTTACGCATAACAACATATTTATTTGCGTCTAAACGCAGTGTTGTGCCATTTATGGTCCCAATAAATTTTCATTGGAGCATTCCAACAAATTTTAATTGAAATTGGAACGTTCCAATAAAGTTAACCAATGAAATTCAATCAGTGTGTCACATACACAAATTTTATTGGTCAATCTACATTGAAACCATATTGGAGCCACATCGGAACATTCCAATAGCATTACAATGTTCCAATTCCACAACACTGTCTAAACGTAACTCAACGATACAATAATAGATAAATTGTGACACACGCTTGCATTATTGCACAATTCAAAAATCATTATTTATGCGTGGCAGCCTAAACGTTATGTTTATTTATAAGCGCGCTATGCGTGCGCGACATTCTAAACATTACGCTCACGTGAACCCAACATTTTTAATATAATAGATAGATAGCTAATGTATTTTTTAAATATTGAATCACTTTTTCTAAACTACTTAATGCTTCTTTATCAGAAATAACCATCATCAAAATCATCAACCTCAAGATTTGGTTTCTAATAATTTCTTCATCAGTAAAAAAAAAGGATAGCATACAAACATTAATACCTTATTGCAACCATCAAAAAAGGATAATGACAAATAATTTTAACACATTGCATTTAGAAACCACATCAACATTAATCATTAATATAAAAGATTGTCACAATTTCCACTATAACGAACACAATTCATAAGGTATGTTCTATATCAAATTTTTTAAAAATCCATTATACATAAGAGATTTTATTAAGAAGTCCACTATAACGAACAAATTTTATTATAAAGAGAATTGAGGAAATAAAAAAAGTCCGCTATAACAGTCAGTGTGCAAATCCTAAAAATTAAGGGGCAAGTCGTTTTGCCAGAAATTTTGGCTGATCGACATTGAAATTTTACTAATAAAAACTCGAATTGAATGTCTTCAGTCCCTTATTTTATTATTAATAATAACGAGATCCACTATAATGAGCTTTGACTGATATGCTGTTTAAAAAGTAGAGGAAACCTAACAAATTTTTTTTTTTTTTTTAATAAAATACAATTAATTTAAAATAGTTTCATATATTTTTTGATGTCTTTCAAAATTTCTATATATACTTTTACTTCTAAAACAACATTTTATTTATATGCGGTGAAACTTCAGTATGTACTATTATGAAGATTGTTAAATTATTTTCGATGGGTCTGTAAGGTTGATTGATATAATAATTATAAATATAGATATATATACTTCAAAAAAAATTTTTTTTCAAGTATTGCGGTGATTAGCAATAACCTAAACAGGAATTGATTTACATTTACTAGATACGTATATATATTCTGTTTGTCCAATATATTAACAATGGCTGGAACAGAAGTTGAAATTACAGATAATAATAGTATAGTAACTATAATTGAATTTAGTAGAAAATTTAAATTTGCAATAGTCACAAGTTTCAATATGGGTTTTAATATATTTAAATTTCTTCATAGAAATCCAAGGACTCACGAACATTTACAAATGTTCGCATATGTGCATACATATTGGCTTTCCTCTGCTATGTTTCATACTCAATTTATTTAATATTCCAACTTGCAACAGAATATCCGGTGGTTATTACAAAATACAATTTTGTCAATACCATAGATGTTCCGAGTTAAGTTTATCATCAACAAGTAAAACTAAATTTACAATAAACTCACATCTTTTGTTATTTATAGATATGGATATTTGTTCTCCAGGTTTCTTTGAAATATTACGCTGTGACACCAAATTAAATAATCTAACCAACATCGAAAATGGATGCCAAGAATATATTTCTGGCCCTAATATTACCGAGGGTGCTGATGATAACTACTGCTGTTATACCTTTAAAGCTAACAAAGCTATAGAGTATACACATGAAAAGCCAGATGGCTTGAACAAGTTGAAATTTTATTACAATATTAATGCAACGGATGCTGAAAAAGAAAAACTTGGTGTAGCTTTAATTCAAATAAGAGTTTTTTCGCCTGGTCAGTAAAATTGTTTGATAACTATATAGATAGGATAATTATATTTGAACCGACATACCTTTTAGTAAGATTATTTTCGTATAGATAGATAGATGGTCATTTTTTATATGGTTTCTGACTATGTCAATTATCCAAAGAATAAATTGTCAAAATTGCTAATGTTTTGATATTTTTAAATAGACTTGTTGGATGTCAGTGAGATGGACAAAGCTGTTCATTCACGTATCGATCTTCAATGGAATTTTATGCCAGGAATAATAGGCTATGTTTCATTAGTAGGATTTTTTTACATAATTATTGATTGTTTTCCAGTTATTCATATTATTTATATTATTTATTCTCTAACACTTCTTTTAGATCAAGTTCAAGACAAGTATATATAAAAGTATACCACCTCGGGATGCTTCTGCCATTATTGGATTTGAGCCCAACTATGCAACTACTCCGAGAATTGATTGCACAATCAGTCAATTTCCCTTTAACCAGAATCCATCATCTGTACCAAATGGAACCAATGGTTATTTTTCAGTTGCTGCTGGGGATTTTGTACAGGAAGAAATTTCTGAAAGGCGGTAAGTTAACAGTAGAGTTTAAACAGAGTATTATTGTAAACATCACTATGAATACAATTTATTTATCTTACTTATGAACCATAATATAGCACAAGTACTATTCTAAGTAGCATTGCATCAGCTGGTGGTGCCTTCGGTTAGTATATTTAAATTGCATACCTTAACAAGTTAGAAGCTGTATAAAAAAATTTTTTTTTTGGTGACTAATAGGTCTTATCGGAGGCTTCCTTGTGTGGTTGTATGGATCCAGCAGTTTTGATGAGTGGGGGGTTGCAAGAAGAATGTTAAATGATCCACGGTATTGGGTAAAGAAATTGAAAAGGAGTTATAAAAGTTTGAACTTTCTTCAAACTCCTTCAGAAACATTGACAGCTAACGATAATGAGCATGGTAGTTATTTTTTTATTAAAACGATTAATAAGCTTGTTACTAATTAATTTCCACTGATTATTACTAACAATAATTTTGATTAATAAATAAACATTAGGTTCTAGTAGTAATGATGATGAAAAGATTTAACCTCAAAAGTTAAATCATAATTATGTTTTGAAAAATAATAAACTTTTTAAATCTTGTTCCAGAAAGAATGATATTTTGATAAACATTTTTCTTTTTTCTCTACTATTACTGCTAACTAACTTAATCAATATTCGTATTAATATTATAAAACTTTCATAATTATTACACAGTAATTTGATAATAATTATAAAAAGCTTTTCCACACAAAGTTTCATTTGAATTATGTATAGGTCTACACTAAAATTAGTTGACCCTGGAACATAAAATATGTTAGTTATTCATTCCTAATCTATCCCGATCATGTATCACGTTATTAATATTAATATGAGAAATCTTCGAATTTAGTAGTAAATGAGTGTGTGGGAACTGAATTTGTATTCAGTAAAGAATAACCTAGCTTCTTGGGAGCAACTTATGAAACAAAGGAAAGAGATTGGGACACGCGCACAAGAAAATATAAAAATAAAGAACATATAATAAACATATATGAAATTTATATCATTTGCGGTTTAGGTTCTTGTGAATATCTATGCAAAATCCCATGCATCTA